CTTTATATGCTAGCAAAACTTAATTTGCTTCATATTTGATATTTTATGATTAGAACTGTACCTTAAATTGTTTACGTTGTGTGCCCAAGTTTGTGAATAAATAATCAACGATTTTAACAGTTTCCAATTTCAAACTATGTTTGTGAGAAATTGTTAAATCAGGTATACTTTGGAAGAAGTCTCAAACTTCCCTAAATTATGAAAAAGAAAAGTTGTTTGCTCCGTGTAACCAGATTATACAGAGCAAGAAAATTAGCAAGTGTTGGTTTCAAAGAGAAGTGATTTGTTACACTAATTATTTATTCCACATCCTTCTCTTGAGGAAAACATAATCTCCCCATTTTCTACCACCACACTTGAGCATGACTGTGTTACTCTCTGACTCTGAATTCTTTTAAACTAGATTTTACCAGAAAATTATTGATACACTTTTAAATTTAATATGTTTATCTATATTTTATTACTTTAAGTATTAAAATTTGAAGTTTTAAAAGGTTTTTCCTTTTCTTTTTTTATGGAAAAAATGTTTTTTCTTTTAATTTAAATTTAATAATAATAATTTTTTAATAAATATGTTATGAACTATACTAAATTAAAAGATATCTATATCTGTGTCTAAATTTTTCCTCTCTTTGAAAGAGGAACACTACTAGAAAAAGTTTTATTTTGGATGAAATATTTTGGACAAGAAAATATTTTGCCCGAAATAAAACTTAATTCGGTCAAGTATTTTGACCAAAATATGTTTTAGTCCGATTAAAAGATATTTAATATAGTAATTCGGTCTAAAATTATTTCGGTTAAAAATTTTGATTGAAATGAAAGAGCATTAATTGGCGCCACCATTAATTCGGTCAAATATTTTATCTGAATTATATTAATAATAAAATAGTAAGCATTTTGGTAATAAATTTTGACCAAATTAATTAAGTAATTTTTGTTTTAATTTAATTATGTTTTTCGGTCAAAAATTTTGACCAAAATAATTGCCTCTTTTTTTTTTTTTTAAATTGTATTAGCATGACACTTTCTTTCCTAAAATTTTTTAATTTTCTAGGAAATTATTTCGGTCAAGCATCTTAACCGAAATAACTCTCTCTCTCTCTCTCTCTCTCTCTCTCTCTCTCTTTTTAATTGTATCAGTCACTACTAAAATTTTGGCTTTTAGCAACAATATATCAGCAACATGGTTTGGTTTGTTGCTGAAAATATGTATCAGCAACATAGAGCTTGTTGCTGAAAGTTATTCCATACACCTCTTCTTGCAAAAGCATCCCTACTTTCAGCAATATACTTCTTGTTGTTGAAAGTTACTTTTAGCAACATACTCCATGTTGCTGATATTTTTCGGTGAGTCCCCTCCCATTTAAATTGAGCTATACTTTTCAGCAATATGTTCTTTGTTGCTGAAAGTGAATTTCAGCAACAAGACCTATGTTGCTGAAAACATTAAGTATTAGCAACATATATCTTATTGCTGTTATTCTTATCTTTTTACCAACTAAGCATCAGCAACAAGAAACATGTTGCTGATATTCTTTGATCGGTAGTTGGCCAAATCTATATATATATATATATATATATATACAAGCTGGCTGCAAGAATGGGGAGTACCATTACTTGCACTTTCAGCAACAAGGGGTATGTTGCTAAAAGTGAATTTCAGCAACATGCCCCTCGTTGCTACCATTTTCCGGTCACCATACCACCATACCACTTTCAGCAACATGGTTCTTGTTGCTGAACTTTAGCAACAATAACCATGTTGCTGAAAATCCTTTGACCAGCAGCTCTCCCATTATATATACACCTTTTCATTGACAATATATACACACCTCTCACACTTCTCAATTTCTTGTTATT